CAAAGCTGATGGCTAAGTGCAGCTGCAACAGAGTCCTGCCTCGCCGTGGCCCGGTATCAGCACTAGGAGATCATAATTCACATAACTCGGCTAATAATTCAGTTAAGCTGAAATGCTGCAGCTGCAGCAGCACCTACACACACACACACTTTCTCTCTCACACGCACACACACACAATCACACTCTTGAGCAGCCATGAAATTTGACTGTTGTTGCTGCTCAAACCTCGAATTCAATTCAATGTGACGCATGTGCTGTGCTGCACATTACTTTGGAACCAGACATAGTTTTTGTACCCTAGTACAGGGTATTATAAAGTCGTGCCAAAGTGTCTAATGCCTAGGAGATATATTATATACTCTTCCATCTGTCATTGGAAAGGTCGATTGAAAAATAGATTTTCCAAGATTTTTTAGACTTAGAATTTAGGAGCTTCACTATTCTTACATGTTTGCAAAGGGGCTCTCTCTCCGAGAGAAATATAAAAAAAATTATTAAAAAATTTAGAATAACTAAACTGATTTCTTATTAAAACTGTACAAAAACAAAACATTAAAAACAAAGATTTTATTTTTTTAGGAATAAAAAATAAAATAAAATCCGTTACTTCTTTTTAAACTATAACTGAGATCAACACTTTCTTTCTAAGCAATGCAATTTAAAAAAGTTGAAAATTCTTTCAATTGAAAAAAATTGATGCATAGTTGAAGATATTATGCTATTGGCAAATTGTGTATTCTAACAAGGTTTTTAGCATTTAATTTTCTATAACGTATTAAATAATTGAGAAGACACGAAAATTTGGAGACTACAGTAATAAAATAATGCTGACGGGCTTACATTCTGTTGTAATGCGGCAGAGTGTAACTATAACAATTTAATGAACACCATTAATTAAATTTAAGAACCAATTTGCCGGCCAAATTTAATCAACTTCTGGGTCTCTCAGACTGATTTTTCCGGTAGATAGAAGAAATATAAAAAAATTAAATAAAATAGTTCTGCAAACAAATGTCTGCCTGCTGTGTTTTAGTCCATTTGGGATTTGTTCATTACCTTGCTCGGTGCAGGCTTAGCTGCTCATACCCCCCCCCCTTCCCCACCCCCCCTTTCACAAGCTGCCCTGCTGTGGCTTGGGCACGGCTGGAGCAGCAGTTTTAAAGGATTTTCAATGTTCTTGCAAATTAGTTTAATCCTGTGTGTCAGTGTGTATCTGTATGTGTGTGTGAAAAAGTTTATTGTTTTCGGGGCAAAAAGTTGCTGCAGCTTTTGGATGATGCTGAAGCTGATGCAGAAGCTGATGCTGTTGTTTGTTGTTTGCGGTGGCTTCAGTGCATTTTGCCCAGCTTAAGCCGGAATGTATGTGCGTGTATGTGTGTGTGTTTGTGTGTGTGTGCGTGTGTAGTTTGTGTGCGTTCCTGGACATTTTTGCAAATTACCAAACACATTTCAAATCTGCTGCTGCTGCTGCATAAAAGTTGCATTTTTAATATGAAATACATTTTGCTATTAACCAGCATCATGTTTAAAACTTGAAAAGTCGTTGCGGAAAATGGAAATTAGCTGCGGAGGGGTGTTGGGGGTTGGGGTTGGGGGGCTTGTTGGAAAATTAGGCGGCGCACTTGAAGCAATTAGCCCAGGCTCGTAAATATGCCACAGCGCGGCTCAATGAATCAATGAATGTGTCAATGATTAGGCAACGAGACACCGGATGGCACCAGGATACAGGACAATGGCAATTGATAGCGCAAATGTAAATATTGCACTTAGGCAAAGGACCTGCAGCAGCAGCAGCAGCAGCAGCAGCCGTGGCAGCGGTCCCCAATGGACCCGCAATAACAGGCTAATGCAACTGCAATGTGTGGCATGTATCGGGCAGGGGGCAGCTACTGTGTGGCATGGATGCCATACACACACACACAGAGAGGGAGAGGGGGGGGGAGAGCGAGCGACCGGAGCTCGCCCATTGCAGTTAATTTATTGTGACCAATATAACGCCCCAGGATATAGGCAAGGAGCAGCACGCAAACAATGCTGCGACTCCTTCTCCGGGGCAACGTTGGGCGCATGTAAATTGAAAATTATGGCAATGCGCAACAAGATTAGCCCAGACTGGGTACAAGCCCCACAACCCTCTCCGCCCGGTCAACCAACACCATCCTACGTGTGTGTACCAGGAGCTAGCCCAAAATGAATTTATTGGCATCGGTCCGCGAAGGAGCACACAGCGTAAACTGAACGTACGACTGACCAAATAAAGTTATGACTTAATGTATTCAAGCTATGGACAGCACAAGATACAACACGCTTAAATCTGTGGACTTCAGCAGAATACGTGACATATGCATAACATTCTTAGCTGCTTTACATAAGGACTTGATGTCAAAATATGCGCACAAGCGTGCAATTCACTTCGCTTCCGTTCAACAAAAAAACAAACAACTTGTAACCAAAAAAAATAAATAAATAAAAAAAAACTAAAGCCGAAAAAGTAAGCATATCTTCGGCGAAGATTTAATACTCTTGAAAACATAACCAAATATGTGAGCATAGTTAAGCTATTTAGGAGCTGCGTTTGATGAAAACAAAAAAGTTGACAAACAGAATATTTTGCCTTATAAGAACCTAATCTTCTACCGATCTGACCTTTTGGCAGCTATAAGATATAGTTGTCCGATGACGTTCAGACTTTGGATATATATAATGTATATATAAGAAGCAACTTTTTGACCGTTTCTTCCTATGGCAACTATATGATATAGTGGTTCGATATTGATAAGCTTTTGCATATAGCTACATGGATTTATGGATTCTATATACTTCGGTTTGCGATTCGAACCAGCTACCTTCCTTAAAGTTCGCTTCGTGCATCTGAATTTGATTTATTTTCTAATTTCTAATATATATTACAATATCCAAATACTAGAATTTAATACATATTTTATTTATTGATATCTCTTGAACAAAATAATGCATTTTTATAACTACAACGAAATGGGTTGAAAACACAACTATGGTTGGTGTCTAGGATCTGTTATTTTGTGCCAAAACATATTCATATAAATATAATATGTATTTGCTTATTGGGTTGCATTTTCATTTGTAAACAGCTGCCTAATTGATGCAGTTGAATCAACATTTATAAGCATACAAAAAGTTTTTACAAATTCTTGAATATTATTTAAACAATGAATTCGTAACTTAAACTCAATAGATAAATGCTTGCTAGTCCGCACACAGACCTTATTTAAAACATGTAACAAGAATACACATCACAAGAATCGTCCAACTACAGTGAAGACTGGCCACAGATGCATAGATACCTGATATGTCAGCCATATATCTCAGCTGTCTGTTTGTCCATCTGTCAGTTGCAGCACTCAAACACTCGAACACTCGAAACTTTTGCCCAACCCAAAAACAGTTGGCACTCTAGAAATTCTCTGCGCCGTTTTGACACAGAATCCGACACTCATCCAGCTGAAGACAGCACAAGGCATGAGCACAAGGATGAGGACAAGTACTTGGGTGTTCATTGGCGCAGCGCACTCAGTGCCAGGCAATGGAGGGATCCAAGGCAGCCAAGTGCAGCAGCCAACTTTTCAGCTTGCCTTATTATGCAAATGCCCTTCTCCCTCCCCCACCCTGCCTCTTTCTCTCTCTCTCTCTCTCTATATATATATATATATACAGATATCTAGCTGCATGCGAACGTCATCGATTTATAAGTTATGCAAGGGTCGCTGCCGAACCCGCAATCTCACCATCTAAGAATCGAATGTTGACTACTTTGTAAGCAATGGTTTACTCTTGTACTTGCTGCCCAAACCAAAACCACCCCCCCCCCCCCCCTCCACCAACGTTACGCCCACATTTGCTGACTGCAATCAGCAATTTTTAGCAAAAATCAATCTCTTGGCCCCGGCTCGCTCAGCTTCCAATTAGAATGTAGAATTTTTTGTTCCCATTGCAGCTGCTGCTGATTGGTTGCACACAAACAAAAAGCTAAAACTATAACAAAAAAAAACATATAACAAAAACAATAACAACAATGGACAATAGTTGCATATACATATCTTTTAACAATGCGATTTTTAATCAAAGTTTTTGCTCTCGCGGCAGCCGCAGTTAGACAACAACAAAAAATTCTAACAAGAATCACAAAAGAAAACGAAAAGAAATTATCTGGTTGAGAGTTCTCGACTATGAAACACCCTGTGGCGTAAAGCTCGGCGCTGGTTAACTTTATTTATGAGGGGAAGAGAGTGGGAAAAGCTTTACAATAGTTTACACTAAAAATTCCTTTCCATCCTATTTAATTGCCATCTAAGCTCAATATTAGTATGTTTACTGGGTAAAATTATTCAGTCATATAAACATATATATATAATATATAAATTATACGTACCTTACATTAAAAATATATAATTTAATAATATATGCAGATTCGCAGTCTTTAAATTTTATTTATAGATTTTCAAACACTTTGACGCGCAGAAACACGAATAACATCTACAAGTCTCACATCTCTAGCATAAATAGCGGTAAAAAGAATAGCGTCGCACAGAAAAATGGTTCAACGGACGACCAGAAAAATGGAAGACGCGCAAAAGCCACACAATATTTTCACTTCGCGAGCCGAATGTAATACGAAAAACTTTGATAAAACAAACTAATGTTGTTCTTATAGCACACGTCTTTTTGTTGTCGCAGGCACTTTTATTTAACTACCAAAAATGATAAAGTATTTACTCACACTCTGTGCACAAAGATCACCAACGCGAGCTGTTCAACTATTTCGTTTTTTGTTTGCCCAGACTGGCAGCATCGTCGTCTGGCAACGCTGGCAGTAAACCAGCGCTGCGGTTCGATTGCGAAAGCTATATGCACAACGACTCACAACTCGTACGCAAAGCTGCCAACGCTAAAGCTTTGCACAAAAGCTCAAGCGTTGTGTGCTTGATCGTTGGATCGACTTCCAAACGACACATTGGAACTTTTCGAACTTCGAGCGACAACTTTGCTTGCGCAGCTGCTCAGTCGGTTTTAGTTCTGTTGGAGTAAAGCAGCAACGTTCGCCAGTGGAACGTCAATACAGAAATGTAAGCACAAAGCAAACAAGTAAAAAAAAAAAAAAAAACAGAAAACTAATTTAGCAGCAGTTCACATATTTTTCGTTAATTTTTAAACTAAAGACTTTAGGCTTACAATGCTATTTAACGCAACTAACAACTCAAAGCGGCAAGTGATAAAAAAGAGCTTAGCATCAACGTGCAGTTTGCATGCGTATTAGATAATAAATGCAACCATGCATCCAATATATATAAAAAAAAACATAAGACTGCATTAAAAACATAGCAACATATAAAGTGCCCATAAAAATAAAAGCCTTATCCGTAATAACTTACAAAAAAAAAATTGTAAAATTGTGAAAAAAAATAATTGTTCAGTCAGCTGACCTTCCGCCCGCGCGGCAGCGGCACCACGGGTCTTGTGATCTAACTACAAACAGATTCTTATTGGAGTCACCTTGCAGCAGAGCTCCACTCTTTGCGGGGGGGACAACTCCCAAAATAAAAGCAGACGGCAAAATTCAATATGGTGGCGCGACTGTAGCGCATTTGCAGAGCTCGGTCTGCATTTTTCCAGTCGTCGTCAGCTGACAGCATGACAGTAGTCTTGTGATCAACGTCAAAAGGCAATTGTCAAAAATTCGAACTCGAATGCGAGAGCAAGAGCGTAACCAAAGTTGCAGAGCGCTCACTTCTGGTCTCGCTCTCTCCGGCTCACACTGGAACTTCAACTCTCTCTCTCTCTCTCTCTGTCTCTGGCAGATAACACAAACTGGAAGCAGCCCGCATATATAATTTATTTTTTCGTAAATCGTAGTTTGTAGCTAAGAAAAAACGGCAGCTCTGATATTTGTTTTTCTTTACAATTTTCAATTGGTTTGTAGTGTCGGCAGTTACACTCATTCTCCGCCTCTTCGAAAGTTAAAAGTTATCAACATCGTGGAAGTGGCTTTTCGAACTGCTGAAAAGCTTTGTCACGTGAAATAAAAGCTCTGCCTGCGATTTTTTATACAGTTTACGTATTACTGGAGAGTTGCGCTTGCAAAGTCTTGAATTCGTTTCCTAAAACAGATATTTGGGTATAATATAAAAAAACTATATACATAAATAGTATTGAATGTTAGTCAGCTATATGTAAAGTTACTTATTTTTACACTTGATATCCATTATGTTAGTGGTACTTCGCCTCACATGCGCCTTCTATATGTCAGCTGACAGCGATAAGAAAATTTTTCAATGGACTTATCTTTTATCTTGTGCGAAAATAAAAAAATTAGTTTCTAAATCGTTTTCTATTTTGCAGTTGTAGAGTCAAAATATACCAAAATGTCCAACTTAAAGCGTTTCGATGACGAGGAGCGTGAGTCCAAATATGGACGCGTCTTCGCAGTATCTGGACCTGGTAAGCAGCCAATGGAAAAATTACATTAAAAAAAACTAACGAAAATAACACAAATTAAAAAACCAATCCTTCAGTCGTTACGGCCGAATGCATGTCCGGCTCTGCTATGTACGAGCTGGTGCGTGTGGGCTACTATGAGCTGGTGGGCGAGATCATTCGTCTGGAGGGCGACATGGCCACCATTCAGGTGTACGAAGAAACCTCCGGCGTCACAGTCGGTGATCCCGTGCTGCGCACTGGCAAACCCCTGTCCGTCGAGCTGGGTCCCGGCATTATGGGCAGCATTTTTGACGGTATCCAGCGTCCGCTGAAGGACATTCACGAGCTCACCGAGTCCATCTATATACCCAAGGGTGTTAATGTGCCAGCGCTGTCCCGTGTGGCCAGCTGGGAATTCAATCCCCTGAATGTCAAGGTCGGCTCACACATCACCGGCGGTGATCTGTACGGTCTGGTGCACGAGAACACCTTGGTCAAGCACAAGATGATCGTGAACCCACGCGCTAAGGGCACCGTGCGCTACATTGCCCCCTCTGGCAACTACAAAGTCGACGATGTCGTGCTGGAGACCGAGTTCGATGGCGAGATCACCAAGCACACTATGTTGCAAGTCTGGCCTGTGCGTCAGCCCCGTCCCGTTACCGAGAAGCTGCCCGCCAACCATCCCCTATTGACCGGCCAGCGTGTGCTCGATTCCCTGTTCCCCTGCGTCCAAGGCGGCACCACAGCCATTCCCGGTGCTTTCGGTTGCGGCAAGACTGTCATCTCACAGGTATGTCACCACCATGGTAAATTTATGGAACCAGCGCTTACTGTCATGTCATTCACAGGCTCTGTCCAAGTACTCCAACTCCGATGTCATCGTCTACGTCGGTTGCGGCGAGCGTGGTAACGAGATGTCTGAGGTATTGCGTGATTTCCCCGAGCTGTCTGTTGAAATCGACGGCGTCACCGAGTCCATCATGAAGCGTACCGCGCTGGTGGCCAACACCTCCAACATGCCTGTCGCTGCTCGTGAGGCTTCCATTTACACTGGCATCACGCTCTCCGAATACTTCCGTGATATGGGTTACAATGTGTCTATGATGGCTGATTCCACCTCTCGTTGGGCTGAGGCTCTGCGTGAAATTTCTGGTCGTCTGGCTGAGATGCCTGCCGATTCTGGCTATCCCGCCTATCTGGGTGCGCGTCTCGCCTCCTTCTACGAGCGTGCCGGTCGTGTCAAGTGCTTGGGTAATCCCGAGCGTGAGGGCTCCGTGTCCATTGTCGGCGCTGTCTCGCCACCTGGTGGTGATTTCTCCGATCCCGTTACTTCCGCCACTCTGGGTATCGTGCAGGTGTTCTGGGGTCTGGACAAGAAGCTGGCCCAGCGCAAACATTTCCCCTCGATCAATTGGCTCATCTCGTACTCCAAATACATGCGTGCCCTCGATGATTTCTATGACAAGAACTTCCCCGAGTTTGTGCCGCTGCGTACCAAGGTCAAGGAGATCCTGCAGGAGGAGGAGGATCTGTCCGAAATCGTGCAGCTGGTCGGCAAGGCATCGCTGGCCGAGACCGACAAGATCACCCTGGAAGTGGCCAAGCTGCTCAAGGATGATTTCTTGCAACAGAACTCGTACTCCTCATACGATCGTTTCTGCCCCTTCTACAAGACCGTCGGCATGCTAAAGAACATCATCGACTTCTACGATCTGGCCCGCCACTCTGTCGAGTCGACGGCCCAGTCCGAGAACAAGATCACCTGGAACGTTATACGCGAGGCTATGGGCAACATTATGTACCAATTGTCGTCCATGAAATTCAAGGTGCGTACAGTGGAAATTCAAAATACGAACTCAATTTTGATTTGTTTTGTTTTGTTTCTTTTTTTAAATGAATCCACTTTTAGGATCCCGTCAAGGATGGTGAGGCCAAGATCAAGGCTGACTTCGAGCAGCTGCATGAGGATTTGCAGCAGGCCTTCAGGAATCTGGAGGATTAGAGCGTGTTGTCCGTACTTTTACAACCTAATCTTATATTGTTATGTAGTTAACTTTTAAAACAAAAAAAATATTGCGTACAGTCAGTACAGAGTACCGTCAAAACAACAATTCCGTGCAACAACAAAAGATTCCAAGCGTCCACAAAACTATTGTTAACATTCCTGAAATATATTTTATTATTATTATTTTTTTTTTTGATGTAGTCGGAAAGAAGAATACACACATTCCGGCCTGCGGTTGCGACTTCTTTACCCGCCTGTCGGCTGCCCCCGGCTGACAAACAGCCAGAACAACAATAACAACAACAACTAACTAACGTCCTTCTATGTACTTCCATTACCAATACATGTACACACACATACGCACACTCACACAAACGAGTACATACATACACGAACACGCACACGCACACACAAAACACGCAGATACAAATGCATGCATAGTATTATTGTTTAATGAATGGAAATTCTTTTGTTTATTTGTGAAAAAGTCATGTTTTCTCTTTGTTTGTTTGTTAAACTTATGTAAATATTTAAAGTATGAAATATTAAATGTACGAATAAAGTGCAAACAACAAATACATTTAATGTAATTGAAAGCAGACGTATCTCTCTCTCGCTCTCTCTCTCTCTGTCTCTCTCTCGCTCACTATTTTTCTCTCTGTCTGCCCAAGATCAGCATGTTGTACAATGATGAACAATACTTGAATGTATTAAATGGGTTTTTGAAGTCCTAACTAAATAAAATTGATTGAAATGCGAAGATAAGCGACTTTTTATACCCTGTATTTCAAAATGGGGTGTATTGGTTTTGTGGGCACTTTAGTAACATTTAGAAATAAACTTTTTTAGAATACAATTAGATCAAAAAAATTAGATTTGTATTAAAAGAGTATCTTCTTATATGAAAGCTTTGTTTATGGGTAAAAATTCTCATGGCTAAAATAAGATAAGTTAATATTGATCATCATTTTACTCACATGTAAAGTGCTAACAAATGCCGAGTTTGGTTTTGCTTTTTCGATTGATTATACCCATGGCAACTATATGATATAGTGCTCCGATCCAGACGGACCAGTGCACAGCTGCATGACTTAAATTCGTGAGAATCGCTGAGAAGGGCGACATTTGAAGTTATTTCCGAAAAATATCATCGCAGCGGAAAAGTAAACAAAAAACAGGTTAAGCTAACCAGGTCCGAGTTTGGGTAAGGAGAACAAACAATATGATCGGAACAAAAAAAAGGAGACTCCTCATTTTGACACCCATTGGGTTGAACTTGTCTTAAAGTGAAGAAGAAGCTTTCAATAGAATTTTAAAAATATCTTTGAAAATTAATTGAGAAGTTAATTGAATTGTGCATTATTCAAAAGCTCGTCTTGGTTAGTCCGTCAGTCAATCAATCAAACAAGAAGTCAGTTTGTCCGAAAAAAAAAAATAAAAACTATTTTATAGATTAAATACTTTTCGTTTTCTATTTCCTTTTATGTCACTTTTCGTACTCAATCGGAAGAGAATACAAGAAATCACACAAAATTGTACCAAGTTGAGTTTTTCTAACCAAATTGTTCGGTTGTTTTATTTTGTTTTAATAAAAAACCAATTGCGAATACTCTTACACCAGCAAAATGGAGAAACGATTTAAATGCTTTTGCCCGAAGTCGCTGATACCCAAAACCGTTGAGGAAGCGACAAATACTTCGTTTATAAGTGACTCAATGAGCAAGCTAGCGGTCACCATTCAAGACACGACCTCGGAGAAGTTACTAACGAGCTCCGATCCATCTACGAATTCGGTCGTCGCCAATGAAGACGTGTCCACCCGAAAGAGTGCCTTAGAAACGATGCAGAGAGGCTGCGTCTTTGGCGTTTCCGGTCCGGTTGTCAATGCTGAGAAAATGGCCGGCTCGGCCATGTACGAGCTGGTGCGCGTGGGCCATTTTCGGCTGGTCGGCGAGATAATACGCCTGGAGGGCGACATGGCCACCATACAGGTGTACGAGGAGACGTCCGGTGTCAGTGTCGGCGATCCTGTCTTTCAGACCGGCAAGCCGCTGTCCGTCGAACTGGGCCCCGGCATAATGGGTGCCATCTTTGATGGCATCCAGCGACCATTGCGCACCATCAGCGAGCTGACGGGCTCCATTTATGTGCCCAAGGGCGTCAATATTCACAGTCTTTCGCGCTCGGTGGAATACGAGTTTGTGCCCCAGAATGTGCGCATTGATGATCTCGTCTCGGGCGGCGATATCTATGGCATGGTCCAGGAGAACAGCATGGTGGAGCATCGCCTAATGATACCGCCACGTAGCCAGGGCAGGGTCAGGTATATTGCGCCCGCCGGCAACTACACCGTGGGGGATGTGGTCATCGAAACGGAATTCGAAGACAAGGTCACCCAGCACACAATGCTGCAGGTGTGGCCGGTGCGTAAATGTCGACCGGTAGCCGAAAAATTACCCGGCAACAATCCACTGCTAACTGGCCAACGCGTGCTCGACGCCTTCTTTCCCTGCGTTCAAGGCGGCACTACAGCCATTCCGGGCGCCTTTGGTTGCGGCAAGACCGTCATCTCACAGGTATGTCAATAGCTTGGAGTGCAACTGATGGGGCCACCATTCATTCGCATATTTTTAACAGGCCCTGTCCAAGTACTCCAACTCGGATGTCATCATCTATGTGGGCTGCGGTGAGCGTGGCAACGAGATGTCTGAGGTATTGCGCGATTTTCCCGAGCTGATGGTGGAGGTCCATGGTATCCAAGAGTCCATCATGAAGCGTACCGCGCTGGTGGCCAACACCTCCAACATGCCTGTCGCTGCTCGTGAGGCTTCCATTTACACTGGCATCACGCTCTCCGAATACTTCCGTGATATGGGTTACAATGTGTCCATGATGGCTGATTCCACCTCCCGTTGGGCTGAGGCTTTGCGCGAGATCTCTGGTCGTCTGGCTGAGATGCCCGCTGATGCGGGCTATCCCGCCTACTTGGGCGCACGTTTAGCCTCTTTCTATGAGCGCGCCGGCCACATCTCGTGCCTGGGCAGTCCCGATCGTGAGGGTTCCGTGTCCATTGTCGGCGCTGTCTCGCCGCCTGGTGGCGATTTCTCCGATCCGGTTACGTCGGCCACATTGAGCATTGTGCAGGTCTTCTGGGGTCTGGATAAGAAGCTGGCGCAGCGCAAGCATTTTCCCTCGGTCAATTGGCTGCAGTCCTATTCCAAGTATATACGTGCGCTGGATGCGTACTATGAGGCCGAAAGTCCAGAGTTTGTGAAGCTGCGTGCCAAAGCGAAGCAAATTTTGCAGGAGGAGGAGGATCTGGCCGAAATCGTACAGCTGGTGGGCAAAACCTCGCTAAACGAGGTTGACAAAATAACGCTGGAGGTTGCCAGAATTCTGAAGGATGACTTTCTGCAGCAGAACTCGTACAGCACCTACGACTGCTACTGTCCATTCTACAAGACGGTGGGCATGCTAAAAAATATGATCGCCTTCTACAACCACGCCGTGATGGCTGTGGAGAGCACGGCTGGGCAGGAGGCCCATGTCACCTGGGGCCTGATACGGGAGCAATGCAGCGAAGCTCTTTACGAATTGGGTACTATGAAATTTCTGAATCCCAAGGATGGCAAGGAATACGTCGAGGAGAACCTGCAGAAGACCCATGACAATCTAATCAAGACCTTAGCTGATCTGGCCGAAAATGTGGCTTCCTATATTTAGTGTATCTGGTCTTAAATTTTGTCTTAAGCCAATTGAAAATTTAGAGTACGTTTTAATAGAAGGTATACGACCTGGACTTTTATAAGCTACATATGGCTGTGTATGTTTTTGTGTTGATTAAAAGGACATTAAATTAAAGTTAAACAAGATACAATAAATGAATTATGAAAAAAGTCTACTAGGCTATTAAATCTCCGGCGTGTAGCAGCTATTCTTACTTTATCGTAAACATTATTTCTTATCCTTACTTCCGTTTATTATAAAGTAATTGTTCACGAACAATTGCGACGTCTCCTTTTGTTATTTATTTTAGTTTTCAGTTAGCGCGGATAAATTGCATTCTTGAATGAGTTTTCCAAGTGTTTAGGTTTCGGTATTTTTCAAGGACAATTTTCCTTTATTATAAGTCAAACAGAAAACAAATATGTTTACCGTCTGGTGGAATAGAGGAAAACTTTATGAAAATAAAAATGAATAGAAGTTAGCGCTTCATTTGCCGTCCGCTTTTGCTTTAAATAAAGCACTCGCAACACTCCAGTTCAGCTAATTTCAGCTTAAACCGCACTTTGGTATTTGCAAACGGGATTTTTTCTAGTTATTTTTTTTGTTTTGTTTTAGCCATTTTGCACTTGCATAAAAGTCAGCGCCAGTTAATCCTTTTAGCCCGCTTCCATGTTCCGTTTCGGCGTTTTTGCAGGAAATTTTCGATAATTTTCGCAACGGCAACCAAATGTCGACAAAATTCGTTGATTTATACGAAAAGTTTATTAGTGCGCTCAAAGAGCAGGCGTTGGCAGCTGCCACGCCTCGCCAGGCCACCGCACAAACGCCCACCAAAAAGCCAGCAGCACCCCATGCCCCGGTGTAAGCCCTCGAGCGCACAAAAATGCAGAGATCGATTTCGATTCAATTAGTGGAAATTAAATGTAAGTATATATATGCACACACACACACACACACACATGTAGACCCATATGCAGCTGTGTGTGTGTGTGTGTGTGTGTGTGTGCGCTTGACTTTGCCGATAAGCCCTGCACGTGGAAGGCGGGCGGGGAGCTGGGCTGGGAGCCGGGCTGAAGGCATTGCGATGATTACATTTCCGCATTCGGCGCTCGGCACCGCAGCCAAGTAACCAAGTCAGCCATAAAATGAGCGCAGAAAAAAAAAAACGCCGAAGCAAGCCAAAAATCAGTTCAATTGCAAATTGAAAATCCCCTTACAACTTCCGTTTCCGCTAGGCGAGCTAAGCGAGAGAGAGAGAGAGAGAGAGAGAGATGACGACATGCTCATGTATGTGTGAGCTGGGCCGCTCGGCTGCCATGACAAACGTGGCGTATGAGCAATGCGCACTAATTGGCCGCCGTTCGTTGCCACACTCAGTGGCACTGCCCCCTTCCCCCACCTCCTTGTCCTCCTCTTCCTTCTGCTGCTCCTTCTTCTTTATCGGCCATTGCTCTTCTACGTCATTCCAGTTGCCATTTTGAGCTTCAGCTGCGCGTTTGAGCAGAGGCTTAACGGTTGCTGGTCCAGAGCAGAGCTGGGCGCGTCTCGTGCTCTCAAACACGACGCGTTCG